GAATTAAGACTAGACCCACAGATTAGCAGCTCTCCCTCTGCCCCTCCTCCTAGTCCCTGCATGAGCCCCCCCTTGCTGCCCTTTGATTCTATGACTTTGAGATACCTCATATAAGTAGGATCAGGGAGTCTTTGTCCTTGCATAACTGGCTTTTGTCACTTAGAGTAACATCCTCAAGGTTCCCCTGCACTGTCAGATGTGACAGCATTCCCTTCTTTTTAAAGGCTGAATATCGTTCATCAAAAGAAGTCCTATTTTCTTATTTCCTTTTTAAACTGTGGCTCTAGACTTTGTGACAAGCTCTAACCCAGTGATTTTCCACCAGTGTGCTGTGAAAATTTTTAAAAGTCATTAATTAAATTGTTTTCAAACAAAGTTCAAAGCACCCAGCCAGATGCAGCAGCTTACACCTGTGATCCTAGCACTGGAAGGCTGAAGTGGGTATCTAGGGAGTTCGAGACCAACCTGAGCAAGAGCAAGGTCTCTAATAAAAACAGAAAAAATTAGCCCGGTGCTGTGGGCACCTGTAGTCCCAGCTACTTGGGAGGCTGAGGCAAGAGGATCACTTGAGCCCAAGATTTTGAGGTTGCTATGAGCTGTGACTCCATGGCACCCTACCCAGGATGACTCTGTCTCAAAAAAAAAAAGTTCAAAGCACAGTAAGTATATTCTTTTTTTACTCTTATTTTTTTGGGGATCAACGTAAGTGTGCCATGGAAGTTTAACTATAGGTTCAAGTGTGCTGTGAGACAAAAAAGGCTGAAAAACACTGGTCTACCTTACAGTGAGATGATTCCCTTCTTTAAGTGATTATAATTCTTGCTGGTTTCACTGCCTTACTGTTCGGGGAGTAATCTAAAACTCGAAGGCCTGTTGTCTTGTTCTGAGTTAAGCTGTGTCCATTCCTCACTGTTCCCATGCATTTGGCATTTTGTCCCCAGGGTAAGATGTTACAGCTTTCTCAAATAATTCTCATTCCATTATGCTTTGTTGGTGTATCTGTCCAGCTTTGTTTGAGGGCTCCTGGACCCCGACTTATTGTTGGCTTTTCCTAGTTCTTATTCGTGGTAGATATAATGAGCCTGGGTGCAAGGTCCTTATCCAAAGTATTGATGAGAACACTGGCTGGGGAGGGTGGGTGGCAGAGCCCCTTGGCAAGCCAGCAGAGGTTCTCCGTAGGACCTCACTACTCCACATCCGGTCCAAGATGCATTGTGTAAGAATTATTTGAGATACTTGATTAAAACACAGATTTCTTATTTCTTGGACACACAGAATCAGAATTAATAGCGGCAGGGCCGGGTAAACTGTATTCTTTATAAGCATTCCAGATGATCTCAACGTGTAGACAGATTTGGGAATGATCAACTTCCAGAGTTTGTTGAGTTTAAAGTCCCCAAACAAATTCCAGCTTGGTCTGGTCCACATTCACCCTCTGACAAGTATAGCCTGATGGGATGGAGGTGGAGCCATGGCTGAGGCCTGCCGGGTTCTATGACCATGGTCTCCCCACACCACACACCCACCTGGGTGAGTTCTACACAATGTCTCCAGACCTCTGTCTGCTTCTTCCAGCCTGTCACCTCCACTCCTGCTTTTATCTCCCTGCTTCATTTCATCTCCTAGATTTTTTAAATTAAATCATAGCTGTGTACATTAATACAGTCATGGGCTACAGTGTGCTGTTTTTATATACAATTTGAAACATTTTCATCAAACTGGCTAACATAGCCTTCATGTCATTTTCTTAGTTATTGTGTTAAGACATTTATATTCTACATTTAGAAAGATTCACATGGACCCTTATAAGATGAACTACAGGCGTGATCCCACCAATCACCCTCCCTCCACCCATCCTCCCCTAGATCTTGGTAGCAGATTTGACTTCCCCTGCCCTGGCCCCTGCCCCAGCCTCAGGATACCAAGTAGTATCCATTTCACACATTGCTCCAAATCTGCTAGCTTCTCGATGGCAGGACCTTACTTATTCAGATGCACGTGGTATTCACACCAATTTTATCCTCAAAGTTCTACATTGCCCGGCATGTGATGTGCTGGGGGTGGAACAGAGCAGGTGCTTACTAAATTTTTCTCTGAGCAGAATTATTTAGTCTAAGGCAATAGGTGGGATCATGAAAATATCACAGTGTTCTGTGCGACACAGACTTGAGTGTGAATCTTAGCAGTGCCATGGTTTCATTAAATTGAAGGTATCTCAGCTGTAAATGAGAAGTATGGATGAGGCATCTCTCATGCTGGCTCTCAGGTTCTATATAATTCTTTGATAAGTCCCAGACTCCCCTTGCTGGCCGGTTCCCTACTTTGAGGTCATTAAAAGGTAATTCTTTGCAGTCAAGTCGCACAATTCAAATCAAGCAGAGATTCTCTTCTCCCAGTGGCACGTGGCAGGCTGTCGGCAGACTCTTCACGAGCATAATCACTCCACAGGCATCCTCCAGCCCCCATTAATCAGCCAGTCCTGTCACTTTAATTCAGCGGCACTCCACCACACACCTAAATAAGCACTCTGGCTTCTGCCCGTGAATTCTTTTCATCCACTTTTGTTTATTACTGTTGAAGCATTTTTTAATCAAAACAATTAAATATGCTAAATCTTCCTCAATTAGTAATGCATTAGAAATTAAAAGTTCATGAATGGAGATGGCAGGAGAAGCCTTTTGCTTGGGGCTGAGTGCCAGCGCTCAGGGCATCACTCCCCCTGGCACTGTTAGCTCTGGAGTTACTCAGAACTGACAGTCACACGGTCACACAGGGCTTAGGCTGAAAGGGACCTTGGAGATGACAAACCCTTCTTTCCATAAATGGGAAACTGAGGCCCAGAGGGATGATGGGGGTTTTACAAAATCATAGAGGATGTTAGTGACAGGGATTTGAATTTAGGATTTCTGACTTCTAAGCTTCCTGTCATAAAGAACCTTTACCAAAGGACTCACGGCATTCATTGATTCACTCTTTTTTTTTCTTTTTACATTTTGTCAGTTGTTTATTTTGAAAATAATTACAGCACTCCTACTTCCAAACAGACAGTGTCTTGCTATGCTGGCAAGACAATGGTGACTAAGACCCAAGTCCTTGCCGTGACAGAGTTTGCAGTTTCACGGGGAAACAGGCAAGCCAGTTTTGATGGTCAATATCTCCTTGAAAATATACAGCCTAATACTTAGCTCAATTGAATGACAGGCCTAAATTATATTTCCTTAGTTGTGTTCACAATAATTCTATAACTCACAATAGTTATCTTATGTTTAAGTTTAAGTGGGATGACATTTTCAAAATGCAAACTCCAGTTTGCAATATTCAGAAGACCTCGTTAGCTGCAGAAAAAGTTGAGCTCGGTAGTGCGGTCAGCCTCGCACTCCAGTTTTCTTATCTAGCCTCAGCTTGTCAGGCAAACCTCAGGGTGGAAGCCTAGCTCTGTTCATTTGCAGGCTGTGTGATGGAGGCAAAGTGGGTTTACTGCCTTGGGAATTATTTTCCTCATCTGCAAAGTGCACGTTCCTTAGTGGGTTCTCTGGTTTAGACAAATACAGAGATGGTCTGACGTGGGCCTGACCGTCCCAGTGGGGTCCGGAGGTCAGGCAGACTTCCCGTGGTGATCTATCCATCTTTGGACATCTCTGGCCTTTTTTGGGTGCAAAGAAGACCTCAACAAAAAGAATTGGGTTGAATCTATTGAGATGAAGAGCATTGGTAGCTCTGAAGAAAGAGGGAATTATTCTGATCTAAAAACACTTCACTGGGCAGCACCTGTGGCTCAAAGGGGTAGGGCGTCGCCCCATATTCCGGAGGTGGTGGGTTCAAACTCAGCCCTCAGCCAAAAGAAAAAAAAAATAAATAAAAACACTTTACAGAGTAAATGGCATTTGAATGGGAGGCTAAGTAGACTTTGGAAAGATGGTGAAGAGGGAGGGAGGAAGGGCATTTATTGATTGATTTTTTTGGTTCCTGATTTTATTTATTCATTTTTTTTTTAATTTCAGGTTAATGTGAGGGTACAAACAACCTGGTCACAATTCTTGAATTTGTTAAGGAGAGTCCCTCTTGTAGTTGCATCCTGCACCCACAAGGCGTGCCTTACACCCCTACATTGTGCCCATTAAGTGGGAACACCCCAATCTCCCCCTCTTTTATTCCCCCTTCTCCGACTTGAATAGAAATGGGTTTTTCTCCTGTGTGGGCTTGAATTAGACCATCTCCTGGCTACATATTAGCATGGAGTACATTGGATACTTGCTTTTCCATCCTTGTGATACTTTACTGAGAAGAATGTGTTTCAGCTCCATCTAGGTTAATACAAAACATGTAAAATCACCATTATTTCTTATGTCTGAATAGTATTTCATGGTATACATATACCAAAGTCTGTTAATCCATTCCGGAGTTGATGGCATTTAGGTTGTGTCCACATCTTGGCAATTATAAATTGAGCTGCAATAAACATTCTAGTGTAAATGTCTTTATGCTAAAAGGACGTTTTTTCTTCTGGGTTGATGCCCAGTAGTGGGATTACGGGGTCAAATGGGAGGTCTAATTTGAGTTCTTTGCGGATTCTCCATAATTATTTTCAAAGAGGCTGTATTAATTTGCAGTCCTACCAACAGCATCAAAGTGTTCCAGGCAGGGCCTTTATACTGAGAAGAAACGTGTGCAAAACTCACAGTGAAAATCATGCCTATTGCAGGCCAGGGGCTGTGCTAAGCACAGGGGCACATGGAGATAGATGAGACAGAATTGTCACCTCAAGGAGGATCAGTGAACTGTGGGCAACGTACTCACACTTCGAAACTATAACAGTATGCACAATCCTTTCTCATTTTAAGAAGTATTGGGTTGAAGCATACAGAAGAGAAGAACAGGGCTTCCCCCCCAGATCTCAGAGACTTTAATGCTGAAGGCAGCTTTCACTATGCAGATGGTTGTACCATGTCAAGCGTCTTTTGGTAACTGAGCATTTTGTGTTTCTCTATCTCTTTTCACAGGTATCACCAGCAATGATATCAAAACCTGCTTTGGAGTCTCTTTGGGCTTTGAGTATGAGTACACAGACAGCATAACCGTCCAAGGAGCCTTATCAGGAGATCATTGTGAAAACTTTGGAACGGGCAAAACTGGCAAGTGTTTAGCAAAAGAGAGAAGTCATACTTCCCTTTGGACACATGCATAGGACATGGAAGCTATCTTTTCCCCCAGTTGATTTCATTTCACTCAGTGGTCCCACTAAACCCCAAAGCGGTGGCCCTTGGTGGCTCTGTTTTGAATCTACCGTGGACTGGAGCCACCTTCAGAATATTGCCTTTGTATCAGGCATCCTCCTAGACCTCAGGTGTTAGACAAAGACCCGTGTAAGGACTAAGTGAAAGGAATGTGTGGACAGAATCTGGCATGTGGGCTGTTAGAATGAAGGCCCATCAGATTACAGTCCAGAGGGGGGGACAAGGCAAGGGGAGAGGGGAACGTGGTGACCAAGTCCAGACTCAAGGAGTAATTGTCTGAGAGGGACCAGATCAAGGCGTGTTCTGAATAAGTCAGCTGAACGTTCACATACTCATTCATCTATTCGTCAATCATGTATCAAGTATTTTTAGGTGCAAAACAGGGAATACAGGCGTGATGAGAAGGTTTATAAGACAGTGGGTAAAGCAGATACCCAACAGGTGCAAGACATCATGGCATTAGGTTACTCGTGCCCCTGGGGCCCTCACCACACTGCTTCCTCTCTCGGATGTCCCTCTGTCCCCCCTTCATTTACCTAGAAAGCACTCACTCACCTTCCTAGGCAACTCACCTTTCTTCCTGACTTCCTCACCCCTCCACCCGTAACCTGAGCACTTTTTTCTCTGCACCTACACTGAGTCCTCTCATAGCAGCTGTGATCCCTGATTGAACCCGCACGGCATACAGCGGGCTCGGAGTAAATATTTGACATCTGAATGAATGAATGACCATCAGTTTCTGCTTCACTCCAGAGGGCATGACTATTTCTAAGCCTCAGCCCTTCTCTTCTGCTTTGTCTCACTAGTTACCCAAGTAGAGCAGAACACTGAGAAAGGGCTCGGAGCCGGTACAGAGAGGACACCAACTTTGTTCCAGATCTCAGTGGTTGAACTTGCAGACGAGTCCTCTGGCTTCTTGTTTGGCGCTTTGGGAAGTGAGCTCATATTGTTCTCCACTTTGTGGCAGAAAGCAGCATGCAGGCCATGGGCGTGGAGGACATCATTTCTCGGGTGCGAGGCGGCAGTTCTGGCTGGGGCGGCGGCTTGACGCAGAACCAGAGCACCGTCACCTACCGTTTCTGGGGGAGGTCGTTAAAGTATAATCCTGTTGTTATCGATTTTGAGGTAAGTCTTTTCGCAGTTGAAGAAACTCTACGTCCATGAGGAATGAAAGTGAAGCAGACCAGATCATTTCATATTTCTGATTATGAGCCCATCAAAGAACAAGATTAAATGTAACGGCGCACTGAGCCGGCGGCCCTGCCCGGGCCGGAGCCCAGGGAGCCCGTGACCTCCAGGGAGCTGGGTCAGAAACTTATTATCTGTTCAACGCTCGGTTTTACATTGGCACTTGGCAAAGTTTTTTCAGGGCCAGGCTGTATAAAGCAGAAGACAATTTGATGGTAATTTACATTCTTACTTGAAAGACTTTTAAAAGTCACATCCCCTAAATTAGGAGTTGGCAAACTTTTTTAGGAAAGGGCCAGAGAGTAAATATTTTAGGCTTTGTCGGCCACATGTAGTCTCTGACACACAAGCAGTAGGAGTTGTTGTTTTTCTTTTCCTCTTCTTCACAACATTTTAAAACTAGGAAGACCATTCTTAACTCAATGGCCACGCAAAAATAAGCTACAGCTTGGCCTCGGACCGGGGCGGCCATTTGCGTCTGTTGCTCCAAATCATCCCATCTCATCCCAGGGAGCCCTCGACAATGATGTGATTCTTCCCACTAGAAAGAAACTGAGGCTCTGAGAACTCAAATGAGTTGTTAAGGGTGACAGGGCCTGGATTTCAGAACTTTGACGTCATACGCAGCTCTCATTCTCTCTGTCCTAGTACCTTCCTTAAAGCAGCAGTTCTCAACCACTGAAGGTGAATTTACTCCTCCTGGGAAATGCAGCAACATCCAGAGACTTTTTTTTTTTTTTTTTGAGACAGAGTCTATGTTGCCCTTAGTAGAATGCCGTGGTGTCATAGCTCACAGCAACCTTAAACTCTTGTGCTTAAGTGATTCTCCTGTCTCAGGCTCCCAAGTAGCTGGGACTCTAGGCCCCCACCACATTGCCTGGCTATTTTTTTGTTGTAGTTGCCATTGTTGTTTAGCAGGCCCAGGCCGGGTTCAAACCTGCCAGCCCTGGTGTATGTGGCAGGTGCCCTAAACATTGAGCTATGGGCGCGGAGCCCAGGGACGTTTTTAATTGTCACAACTTGCAGTGGGGCAGGGAAGTATTATTGGCATCTAAGAGGCAGGGAATGAGCCCAATGAAAAAGAAATATCTGGTCCCAAAATGTCAAAAATACCAAAGTTGAGAAACTCTGCCTTAAATTCCTAACTTCACAAAGGACGTGAAACTGTGTTCAAACTGCAAAGTGGTATTTTCTAGCAATTGTCCAATTACTTCTGTTAACATGCAGCATAGTCCATTAAAAAAAGGTTACATTTCAGACTTTGGAGCAAAATATCATTCCTGCTTTTCTATCGGTATTTGAAATCCCACCTATGAATGCATTTCCTCTTGTACGTACGCAAAACATATCACCTACAGTTAGACCTACAGTCTGTTGTAACTCCCTGCTTTCTATGAAGAAAGGGGTCAGATGGATTAACCTTCATTTCATTTCTTCTTCAGTAAATAAGGGACCATTTTCACGCACCTGTAATTCACATAGGGTCTGAAAATTGCTATCATCAAGCTATTAGTGATTTGGAAAAACTGTAAAATTGATATCACGGGCAAGAGGTGAAATTTGTGTTTGCCTTGAGCAGAACTTCTAAGGGACAGACCGAGGTTCGTGATTTGGAGAAGCCCACTGTCTATAGTAGTGGTTCTCAACCTTCCTAATGCTGCGACCCTTTAATACAGCTCCTCGTGTTGTGGTGACCCCCAACCATAAAATTATTTTCATTGCTACTTCTTAACTATAATTTTGCTACTGTTATGAATCATAAATATCTGATATGTGGGATGTATATTCATTGTTACCAAGGGGTCGCGACCCGCAGGTTGAGAACCACTGCTCTATTGGGCAAAAGAGCCTGGGTTTTGGGAGGGGAAAGATACAGACATGGCTGAGCCATCTTGTCAGTGTGTGACCTTGGACAAGTTACTTCGCTCTCTGAGCCTTATTTCCTGCTCGATAACATAGGGATGATGGAAGATGTTACTTCTCAAGGGTGGGGAGAGGGGGGGTGGGCACTGTGTAAGTGTCAGTTGACAAAACGGTTTAGCACAAGATCTCACAGCTAGCCAATGACAGAGCCCAACCGAGCCATGTCACACTGACACAAACATCCACGATCTCTTTGCAAACCCCATTGCCCCCTGAGAAGTTAGGACTCAACATGCTACGCCACTGGCAGGTTTTAGAGCCGGAAAGTTATGTAGCTAGCACAGTGCTTTAAAAAGAGAAGGCGGCTCACGGGGAAATGAAGGGTGAATCAAAGGAGAGGGTGGGCCAGGGAGAGGGGAAGAGGCAGAGAACAGACAAGGAGACCAGGTCAGTGTTATCTGGAGCCTAAAGTTCAGAGTGGAACAGCATTTTATTAGCTCTCATATTCCCAGAGCTCTTATATAGAGTCAGTACTTCGATTGAGTCATCTTATGGTATGTTTGAGTTATGTTGCCGGGCTGTGTTATGTTAAGTGAAACATTGTTATCTGTTCCGTGTTATCTTACAGTGTGTTGCCACATTGTATCACTTGTTCTCTCTGAATCGGTTTTCTCATCTGCCAAATGGGTATAAGATCATTGCCAATGTCTTTTCTAGTGATAACATTCTAAGATCTTTTCTCCACCTCTCTCCTCTCTCTTAAGTCCCACTGGCCGCCTCCAGAGTGCTTCCTTTCCTCTGCCTGAGGTTCCTGGGAGAGAGAAATCAGAGATGGGGGACGGGGACTGGGCACTTAGCCCCCCTGGAAGGTTGAAGAGAAGTTTCCTAATGGTTCTGGCCTTCCCCAAAATGAGTGATCTTTAGTAAGGGTCACAGGGCAGCTTATTCTGTGCTGACTTCCTAACAATGGGTCCAAATTTTCTGAACTTCCAGTAAGTGATTTTCTCACCTTGGCTGAGAATCCAGCCAGTCCTGACATTCCCTTCACGGTGACCTCAGCTGCAGCCCCTGACTGCAGGTCAAGGTCTGTTTGCCGCAGGGCGATCTGTACACATTTCCAGGAAAGCCAAGGCATGACAGGTGCCATCTGTTGACATTTGTTTCCAGAGAAGTTGGAGTGTTCCAGTGTGGCTCAGTCCCACCACTGACTTGCCCTTCTCCGCCTGGGGCATAAGATTCCTTTCCTATAAAGTGAGAGATTTGGAGAAAAGCTTTCATGTTATGATGGTGTTAGAATGTATAACACTGTAGCACGCGATTTGGAAAACACAGGCTTTTTTTTTTTCACTATCATCGCATCTAATAAAAATGCCTCTTTCTTTTATTTTGCTGTTCCTTTTTAGTGTCTCTGACATTCATTATTTCTTAGATCCTCGTAAGAATTCTCAGAAGTAGGTCTGATTCCTACTTTCTAGATAATGAGGCTCAAGTTCACAGAGGGGCACAGGAGAGTCCTAGGCCGCCAGGCTAGGATGTGAGCTGCGTTGACTTAGCGTGTACCACGTGACAGGCCTCTCCCGTGGGCCACCGCCTTTAACCCTCATGCTAAACCTGGATGGTGGGATGACTGTTCTCACTATGCAGATAAGCCGGAGGGCTCAGGCACCACAGATCACACAGCTGAAGGGAGTAGAGCTAGGGCCTGAAGCCAGCTTTTCTGGTTCTAGATATAAGATCTTTCTACTAAGTCAACTACTTCCTAACCAGGGGAAACTTTGTCTCCCACGGGACAGTTTTAGTTCTCATAACTGGGAGGTGCTACTTGCATCTAGTGGGTAGAGGCCAGTGAGGCTGCTAAGTGCCCTGAGGTGCGCAGGACAGGCCGCACCTGCCAGCAAAGCCTCCCCCAGCCGGAAACGCATCAGCTCCAAGGCTGAGCAGCCCTGCACTGTGCTCATTCCAGCATCCATGGCCTCAAATGCAAATGACCCCCTGCCTACACATGTGCACTACACCATTATAGGAATCACTCAGCAATGACAGTACAACTACCTCCCAAGGATTTTATTAATTCCTGCATTGAAGATTGACAATCAAAACACACACACACAAAATTCTATCCAGGTTCATACAAAAGAGGTAAGTCTCCATCTTTTTTTATAGCTGAATAGTATTCCATATATCAAAATTGATTAACCCATTGGTGATTATAAATTGAGCTGAGATAAACAGTCTAGTGCAAATGTCCTCATGATAAAATGATTTTTTTTTTCTTCTGGGCAGATGTAATGGGATTTTAGGATCCAATGGGAGGTCTGTTTTGAGTTCTTTGAGGATTCTCCATACTTCTTTCCAAAGAGGCTATATTAGTTTGCAGTCCCACCAACGGTGTAAGAGATCCTTCTCTCCCCATCCAAGGCAGCGTTTGAATCCACCATCTGCAGACTTTGTAACTTAATCATTTGTACCCTCATATTAATCTGAAACTAAAAATAAATAGATCAATACTTACAATTCTTACAAACACACAGGCTTTTCCTGCTTCCTGAAGGTGCTAGAGGGGGCAGAGGAGCTGGCAGGAGTAACCTCTACGCTCTGTCCTTACGCTGGGATTGAGAGAACACAGATGTCAGGGTTAAGTAGGTCCATGTTCCAAGTGGCTCTTGCACTTAATAACTGTGTGGTTTTGAGCCAGTCCCGTCAACACTTGGGGTCCCCGTGTCTTCCCCTGTGAGCAGGGAGTTTAGTACCTACCTCTCAGAGTGGCGGTCAACATGCAGGGCATGAAGTGGGTCTTCTGGGAGGTTAGCGGTCAATCCGTGGGCTCTGGAAAGGTGAGCGGAGCCCAGGGAGGGGCCCGTGTTCTTTCTGTGCCCGCAGATGCAGCCCATCTACGAAGTGCTACGGCACACAAACCTGGGGCCGCTGGAGGCCAAGCGGCAGAACCTGCGCCGGGCCCTGGACCAGTACCTGACGGAGTTCAACCCCTGCCGCTGCGGGCCCTGCTTCAACAATGGGGAGCCCATCCTCCAGGGCACCAGCTGCAGGTGCCAGTGCCGCCAGGGCTACCAGGGCCCTGCCTGTGAGCAGACGGAGATAGAGGGTAAGGCCTGTGTGTCTCAATTCAGTTCCAGCCTCACCCGGCTCAAAGGGGCCAGTGCCAAAAGCATCTTGGGGGGGTCTCAGCCTCTCCTTTCTGAACCTGCTCATTCCCTATCCCAGGAACCCACATTTGCGAGTTCTATTCCTCACCTGCCACCCTGCCCCATTCTGCTCTTTCTCCCTGCCATCAAGACCCTTTCTCAGATGGGAACTGTTTCTCACCAAGACGTGGCTGGACAAGAGATTCATTTATGGAGGGACAAGCTAGTCTCCTGGGGCTGCCGTAACAAAGATCGCAAACTGCGTTGCTGGCAGGAAACCAGGAATGTTTTGTTTCAGGTTTCTGGAAGCTAGAGGTATTGGCTAGGTGGTTTCTTTGAGAAACTCTGAGGGGAAAAGTGCTCCCCATTCCTCCCTCGCAGCTTCTAGTGGTTGCCGACAGTCTTGGGTTGTCTTGGCTTATAAAGGCATCATTCCAATAGCTCCCTGCATCTGTATGAGAATCCCCGTCATCGCATTAGAGCCCACTCTAATCCAGCACGGCCTAATTTTAACACGGTCTTATCTGCAAAGACCTTATTTTCCAAATAAGGTCACATGCACAGGCAGTGGAGGTTTGGACTTGAACGTATCTTTTGGGGAATCACAATTCACCTGCCTCCCCGGGATTAGTAGTTGTCGTTATAGTGTAAGGAGTTGAAACTAAAAGCAGGGTTGGGGCAAGTAAAGGTTTAAACGTTCACAGCTGAAGCAGGAACTGCCTGGCCCAGGGAAGAGAGTTAGCAGTCAAAGGCTGAACCCCTGTGCCCTAAAGACAAAGGGGACTGGGGGTGTGGACGTGAATCACAGCGATTTCAGTAACTCCCTGTGAGACCCTGGTTAGTAGCATCTGTTTGGGGGTTAACATTTTTACCTAATTTTCCTTTGAGCTCTAAGAATCTCTATGCATGTCCCAATCCCTAAGCTTCTAATTTTCTAGGCATCCAAAACTGATTCTATGGTACATGGAGTGATGGGAAAACATCTGGGTTACCAAATCAATGTGGAAATAAATCCCAACTGGTTAATATAATGAACAAAAAATACCAAAAAAAAGTACGGCTGGGCACCCATAGCACAGGGATTATAGCGCCAGCCACATGCACCAAGGCTGGTGGGTTTGAACTTGGCCTCGGCCAGCTAAACAACAATGACAACTGCATCAAAAAAATAGCCGGGCATTGTGGTGGACACCTGTAGTCCAAGTTACTTGGGAGGCTGAGGCAAGAGAATTGCTTAAGCCCAAGACTTTGAGGTTGCTGTGAGCTGTGACGCTACAGCACTCTACGGAGGTTGATATAGTGAGACTGTCTCCAAAAAAAAAGATGGATAGAAGAGCTGGAAAGATTGCAAATTTTTTGGTGCTAAGGTGCTACACTTGGGTCTATTAAACAAACTCTTGAAGCACAAGATAGACAGGGTGAGAGCTGTGTGGCTCAACAGGTGTGCGTGAAGAACAGGACCGGCACTTAGACCCGATTCTCTCAGGGGGGTTGACAGCAGTAATGTTGATACCCTCAGAGGGAAGGGCCCAGAACAAGATTCCTCTCTGGCATCCCAGGAGCCACGCTTCATCAGACATTGGCAAGATAAAGCGGACAGCCAAGGGAAGTGGGAAGACTCACACCTGTATCCTAAGAGGAAGAGCTGGAAAGATTATGAATTTTTTGGCATTGGAAAGATTTTGATCTACCATGTAGAAGGCATGAGATTTGTATTCTGTGGCCACTGAGATTAAGCTGTTGAACTAATAGAAGGGGAACTATACCAGAAGGATTTTGGATTAAGGAAGGAGGACTTTTAGATTAAGGAGGGAGAAAATTTGCAATCTTCCCAGCTCTTCCAGCTGTAGTGTGGCAGGAGTTGGGGAGGGGTGGGTGACTTGTGAGAAAGTTATAAAAGAGATTCATTCACCCAGTGGGTAGCTGGGTAAGATGGCCCCCAAGGTCCTACCCCACAATCTCAGTCTCTGACTTAAACAACGGATACAACCTCATGAATAGGGGGTAGTTTGAAGCTTTGAATATTTAAATTCAGCTTGGCTTGAAAGAAATCACCGCTACCAGTTTCCTTAGAATTCAGAAGAGATTTTGGCCTGCAAGGTTTGGTTTAAAAATGAGATGATTGTGAGTGAGTTACTTGTCCCTCCCTGGGAGAGGAGTTCTACATGGGAGGCAGGAGTGTAGCTCTGGTGTCAAACAGGGCTCTGAGTCTTAGAGCTGTCATTTCATCTGGGCTGATCCCATAAAATGAGATGATACAGGAAACTCTTTCATAGGTCATGTTGAGGATCAAACTGGTTAGCCCACATGGCAGGCTGTGTTATCGTAAACAGAAGAAAGGACAGCTCTGTGTAGAATGTTCCACTGGGAGAGGATCTGCCCTGGGTTGTTCCTTGGTCCAATCCCTCCCTTGCTGACAAAGAAGTGGAATTGAAGTCCCAGTGAACAGCCCAGTGATCTGTAGGAGGAATTCTGAAAGGGATGAGCCAGGAGGGTGAGTGAAATCCAAAGCCTTTATGAAGAAGAACGCTGAGAATAAAAACTAAGGGTATCAACTCCCAGGGCCAAGCCTGGCCCACAGTTTCATCAGGTGACTTGGAAAAAGGCACTTCCTGGCAGGTCAGTGAATTGAGAAGGGAAAGATGAAACCACTCGGGGTGATAGAGCTCCAGGGCCCAAGATTTCCCGACTGGGTTTCTGCCCCACGTTCCCACTGGCCAGGCAGCTTTCTAGAAGGGACCAAAGGTCAATAAACAGAAAATCATAACTAACCCTTATTCTGTGCCAGCCACGATAACAGAACTTCATGTGTATGGACTCGTTTATTTCCCCAATAACTTATGACATAAATGCTTGTGTTAGTCCTGATTTACAAATGGGGAAACTGGGCAGATGGAAGGTTAGACAACTTGCACAAGGTCGTGTAGCTACAGAAGCAAAGAGCTAGCATTTGGACTTGACAATCCGATGCCAGGACCCAAGTTCTTTTTCTTTCAGAGACAGAGTCTCACTTTGTCGCCCTCAGTAGAGTGCTATGGCATCACAGCTCACAGCAACCTCCAGCTCTTGGGCTTAAGCGATTCTCTTGCCTCAGCCTCCTGAGTAGCTGGGCCTACAGGCACCCGTCACAACGCCCGGCTATTTTTTAGTTGCAGTTTGGCCGGGGCTGGATTTGAACCCGCCACCCTCAGTATATGGGGTTGGCGTTCTACTCACTGAGCCAGAGGTACTGCCCAGGACCCAAGTTCATAACCATTACTTCACTAATTCATGTCCTAAGAGTCAGGAAATTTAGGGAATGAGAGTAGAAGGTCTGAGACGATTTCTGATAACTATCATTTTGAGGAGTGGCGGGGGGTGGTATGAGCTAGTTCCTAGGTATCAGGTTGGCTTGGCTTAAAGATGTGACCCTGGCCTGGGTGATTTAATCGTAGCACAGTTGAAGGGCCCTCAGAATCGGGGACTTGCTCACATCCCCGTAGTCTGTGTGCTACATAGAGGTGCTCCTCAGCCGTCCAGCACCAGGCTCAGCAGCAGCTGGGCAGAGTCACTGGAGAATGACCTGGGGGAGGGGAGGGGGCAGAGCGGGAGGGGATGGCAGGTGCTCTCCTGGTCCCATTCCTCCTGCATTCCGGCGCTTACAGATAGTAGGTTGCAGAAGCTCATGGGACTCCATTAACCTGGTTCCCAGCAAGGTGTACACAGAAGGTTGGAGTTGTCATCCTGAACTTTCACCCCAACAGAGGCTGGGCTGGCAAGGAAATCTGAGGCTGGGAAGCCAGCCAGTCTCCATGGAAACCCAGGAGAGTGCTAGGAATTTTCCTAGCAAATTTTTGCCTGCAGGGACAGACCTACAAGGTGGGAGAAAGAGACAGAGAGCCGTGCTGTGGCTGCCGTCTCGGGGAGTGTAATCGCAGAGCTGGAAGGGCCCTGGAGATCATCTAACAGTCAAGGGTTGCACTGTGTCCTGCGGAGTCGTGGGGTCCATGGGGCTGCCCTGGTGAGGAGGGCGGGCCTGACAGCCACCCCAGGTTCAAACAGAACATCTCTGCTTTCATCTGACTTAGATGCTCTGGTCCGTATAAGATTTCATACAGGAAAAATAGAGATAAAAATGTAACAATTAAAAAATCCATTAGATGAGTCCACTCTTTTCATATTGCAGTGTGGAAAACTCAGACTGAGACAGAGGATTGCTCAAATGCACAGGGAGGTAGCAGGCCCAGGCTGGGGGAAGGCCTCTGAGCTGGATGTCCAGACAGACTGTGGTCAGTGCACATGTTCAGATGCTCTGAGCAGAGAATGTCTCACCCAGCGCGTTTTGTTGTCAGTCGGAGGGAGTCTGATTTGCAAATCTTCACACAACAGCCCAGCAACCCTCCCTAGAGAGGGGTCTGGTGGAGCCGGAGCTATTTCTGTGAATCCCCAGCTGGGTCCTGTTCCCAGCTCCTCACCCCCTCCAGTGACTCCACGTCATTCTTCCGAGGAGAAGCACACCCCTGCCTTTGCTATCCATCTTCCATGGAAACCTGGGTTCCAATTTCATGAGATGAGTTCCCAGTGGCCCCTTCTCACTCCATTCAGAGTTTCAAATTAAGTGCGAGGCAGTGGGCACAGAGGTCTTGGTTGGCTACTCCCGGGCATTCCCCAAGGAGGGATTGCAGACCACTCTTGGGCCATGGGGTGGCCCTCCCTCCTCCCCGTATGCTAACCTCCTCCTCCCCTGGGAAATTTCCTCTGCAGGAGCCAAAGCGGATGGGAGCTGGAGCTGCTGGGGTTCCTGGTCTGCGTGCACAGCAGGCACCCAGGGGAGGAGGAGACAGTGCAACAACCCCGCACCCCAGAATGGAGGGGCCTCATGCCCAGGGCGGGAAGTGCAGTCCCAGGCTTGCTAAGGCCTCTGGGCACAGCCTGGGCTGGAGCTGCCGTGTGCCACCAGAGCTGGCTGTTGGATACGGACCACTTTTAGCTGAGAGAGGATACGCGTCAGCACAGACGACTCTTCATCCTGCCAGGCCTAAGACTGGCCATCCCATGGACATCCACCTGTCCCATCAGCTACACCACTCAGTTGTTCATTCAACCTCTGGGTGGGGAATATTAACTAGATGCTCAGTCCTGCTCACAGCATGTTGTAGCATCTAAAAGAAACAATGAAAAACCCAAGAAAACTGAATCCATGACTGAAGAAAATTTATAGGATGGTGGAGGGGCATGGCAGGCCGACACTTTTGATAAAATTGATGTCCAATAAAACAAAATATGGTAAGAATTCTCTAGTTCTTTGACAACAATCTTTGTTCATTTATAGAAACATTATTAATTGGTAGGGTAAGCAGACATCCTGAAATAATGAGGAAAATATTAAAAATTGACTTGCATTTCCTCAATTTTCCTTCCTTTGGACTCCTTAAGAATTAATTAATCAGCTCAGCACCTGTTGCTCAGTGGTTACGGCATCGGCCACATACACCTAGGGTGGCAGGTTTGAACCTGGCCCGGACCAGCTAAACAACAATGGCAACTGCAACAAAAAAATAGCTGGGTCTGTAGTCCCAGCTCCTTGGGAGGCTGCGGCAAGAGAATCGTGTAAGCCCAAGAGTTTGAGGTTGCAGTGAGCTGTGATGCCATGGCACACTACCAAGGATGGCATAGTGAGACTCTGGCTCAAAAAATAAAAAAATAAAAAGAATCAATTAATCTCTCCAGTTAGCCTCCTAAGTTCTTTCTACAAATGTCATATTTCTCCCAATTACTTTCTCATGGCGTATTATTCTCCATTGCAGTTTTCACAACTGGTAATTATATTGTCTTAGGCTGCTCAGACTGCGGTAACAAAGTAACATAAACTGGTGACTTACAAACAGCAGAAACTTACAACTCACAGTTCCTGAGTGTGGTGAATTCAGGGGAATTCAGTGTTTGGCGAGGGCCCTTTTTCCCGGGTACTCCAATGGCAGAGAGGGCAAGGAGTCTCTGGGAGGCTCTGCCCCTGTGATCTAATCACCCCCCAACCAAGGTCCCACCTCCTAAATCTGTCATCTTGGAATTAGAGGACAAAATCATTCAGACAATAGCATTCCGCCCCTGGGCCCTCCAAATTCATAAGCTTCTCATATTCAAAATACAGTTGACCCGTGAACAACTGAGAGGTTAGCAGTGCTGACCTGCTGAACAGTCAAAAATCTGCATATAACTTTTATTTTTATTTATTTATTTTTTTAAAATTAAATCATAGCTGTGTACATTAATGCAGTCATAGGGTACAGTGTGCTGGTTCTATATACAATCTGAAATATTTTCATCAAAAAAAATCTGCATATAACTTTTGACTCCCCCGAAACTTAACTAGTAAGAGCCTACTGTTCACCAGAAGCCTTACTGTTAACACAAACAATTAACACAGTTTGTATGTTACATGTATTATCCACTATATAGCTTACTATTATAGGTACAATTCTTACAATAAAGTAGGCATACCGTAGAAAGAAAAGAAAAAGGTACTTTTCCTTTTCTTTTCTGAAGAAAAGAAAATGTTATTAAGAAAATCATAAGGAGGAGAAAATATAGTCACTATTCACTAAGTGGGGATGGCTCACCTGGAAGGTCTGTGTCCTTGCTCCCACTGAGCCAGGTGAGGAAGAGGAGGAGAAGGAGGGGTTGGTCTTGCATCTGAGGGGGGGCATATAAATCATGAACTAAAATAAAATCTTAAGTCCCCCAGCTGGCTGAATGAACCCCCTCTTGGCCAAAGGGACCCCAGAAGTACCCTGAAGTCAGCCTTGAGGAGGGAATTCAGTCCTTCTGGGAGATGCCCTTTGTAACTAACTTATTAATAAGTCTAAGCAGAGGCAAGACTAAGCTTTAACTATACCTGCGGGCCATCAATTTACTTAACTGATCCCTTGAATCTGAGTACAGGTCTTGTGACTTGTGTTTGATTGAGAGACTTCCTGAAGACAGTTCAAACCTTTAGGCAAAACTTCACTTTTTTACCCAATTACAAATCAAAGAATCTTGAAACCCACGCACATGTCACCTGTAATCCTCCTCTTGTGAAAGCACGGGTAGTGTGAATTAGATTGGAGTCATTCAGATGATGACTGAGATGACGCAGGTGATCTGGTCTGTTTGGGTCCTACACGACCTCATCTTATCTCTCCCATTCTCCCTGTTTTGTAAATTCAGCTTTGACCTAAAAGCATGTATCTTGAGCAGTGTAGGGCAATTGATTTAGGAGATTAACTTTTGAATAGGGATATTGGTTTGGGTTCTGGGTTATGCTGATTATTGTTTAGGATAAAGATTAACATGATTTTTACTTCAAATTTTCATATATGAAACTGTAGTTTTGGAAATAGAAGCACGGAACAGTCTTGGAGAGGCTACTCTCACTGTTCTCCAGATCGACCGGCCTTCTGACAAATACAGTTTGCTGGATCTCTCCCCATCTCTGCACATTGGCTTGAGAGAGGATACCCGAGGAGGGTGAGGTCTAGGAGAACAGGTCTTCTCAAGGACACCACAAGGATACACCTGCAAGGTCCTCTCCATGGTGACTCAGCTCTTGGGAATCTGTAACTGGGAAATTTCCAAGTTCTGTGAAATCCTGTAGTTCTGTAGTGGCTAGAATAGCATCTCCTGCTTGATTCAAACTGGCCAATGACAGGGGTACCTGTGGGGTGGAACTTTCGGAATGTCAGTAAAAAGGGAAAGACCAAGCCAGTGGGGAATTCTTCTATGCTGTAAGCTCCTGGCTGGTGAATAAAGCCCTTCCTCTTATAAACATGGTGTTTGGATGCTCTTTCTCTCCCTTGGGCCTTGAGTCCCTGCAACAGGCTGACAGTGACAGGAGGCTGGGTCCTCTTTGTCCAGTCACATTTTGAGATGTCCTTCCTTTTGGGGCCAAACCAATGTACATCTTTGATTGTCAATTTATTACTTTACTTGTAATTCCTGCCTCCCTGAAATATATCAAACCAAACTGTAGCCCAACCATGGTGAGACCACTTACTTAAATCTCCTTGGGTGTGGCTCTCCAGGCCCTGGTAACACACATTTGGCTCAGAATATACCTCTTTAAAGTATTTTACAGAATTTGGGTTCTTTTCTTTTGACAAAGTGGACCTGAGCAGTTCAAACCTGTATTGTTCAAGGGTCAAGTTTGCATTCGCTCCATCTCACCAGCCTCAAAAGTCTTAACGCCTTTCAACATCAAGTGAATGCCTCAAGTCCAAAGTCTCATCTAAATACCACCTCAACAGATATGGGTGTGACTCAGGGCATGACGCATTCTGAGGCAAATCGCTCTCAATTCATAAACCTGTGAAATCAAACATGTTATACGCTTCTAGAACTACCGGACAGCATTCCCATTCCAAAGGTGAGAAATAGGAAAGGGGTAATGAGAGAGGATACCCGGAAAAATCAGGTCAAAGAGAACAAAGGTCTTCTCAAGGAGACCCCGAGGATACACCTGCAAGGTCCTCCCCAAGGTGACTCAGAGCTTAGGAACTCGCAGACTTCACTTCCTGGGACCTGGAGACTGACCCTGCTTCTGTGAAAGCCCGTGGTTCTGTAAAAGTGGGAGCCCACTGCTCCAGCTTGGTTCAAACTGACCAACAAGGAAGGTACCTGTAGGCTGGAACTTTTTGACTAGTGATAAAAAGGAAAAGACTGAGCCGGTCGGGGAGTGTGGCCCTTTTGAATTCTTCTTGGCCCTTGCTCCGCCAGCTGAAATAAAACCCTTCCTCTTTTTAAACATGGTGTCTGGGGCCAGGCGAAGTGGCTCAGGCCTGTAATCCCAGCATTCTGGGAGGCTTAGGCAGGTGGACGACCTGAGCTCAGGAGTTAGAGACTAGCCTGAGCCACAGCGAGACCTCGTCTCTAAAAATATAGCCCAGCTTTGTGGTGGGCACCTGTAGTCACAGCTACTGGGGAGGCTGAGGGAAGAGAATCGCTTAAGCCCTAGAGTTTGAGGTTGTTGTATTGTAAGCTGTGCCACCACAGCACTCTATAGAGGGCAGCAAAGTGAGACTCAGTCACAAAATAAATAAATAAAAATAAATAATAAAATAAAATAAACATAAACATGGTGTTTGGATGCTCTTTCTCTCCATTGGGCCTCGTCTTCCTGCAATAGTAACAGGTTATAAGCACATCTAAAATTTTAAGTCTTGAGAATACTCTGCTTTGGCGCTGCAGGCTCCCTGGGGTTGAGGTCCCACCTTCTGGAAATAGGAGGGTAGAGATCCAATCCCCACAGCTTTGCTGGCCAGGGGTTGGGAACCTAAAGTTCTGGGCAGCCCCATTCCCTTCACTTTACAGCCCACACGGCAGTTCTCTTGGTCTGGAACTTCATAACTGTGGCTCTACCAGTCTGGGGTTGGGGAGGGGGAGAAAGGGGACCTGACTGCACTCCCACAGCTCCACTGGGCATCTACCTAGTGGGGACCCTGTAACAGCCCTATACTTATGGCCATTCTCTGGACCTTGTGGCCCTCCAGGCAGCCTTTGAAATCTAAGTGGCAACAGCCACAGCTTTGCAGGGAGCAGGGAGCCACACCTGGGGCCTGGAAGCAGCTGCAGCCCCTCCTTTGTATTTGAAACTGCTCCATTTCCTGGACCTTTCTGCTCTGGGCCTACGTTGGGGGTGGCAGAACCCACTTCTGAATTGTCTTCCGGTAATTTCCCCATTGGCCTGCACAGTGTGCTCTACGGTAGCTTCTGCAGAGAGGGCTAATCTCCCCCATGTGTATTTGGCCACACCCTTCGAAAGGTTTTCTCATTCTCGGCAGCAGGAATAAGCTGAGAATTTTCCAAATCTTGACATTCTGCTTTCCTCTGGGGGTACAGTTTTGTCTTAAAATCATTTTGATCTCCAGTTTTACTGTGAACAGTCAAGATGAGCCAGGCCAGTCTGAGAGCAAATGTGGTGAAAATACGACAGGGTCAGTCAGGCTAAGGCCGACATCACAAGGCTGGGCGGGTCGGTCCACGCCCAAGAGACCTTTACCTCCTGTCTCCTGCTCTTACTGTTCTGTGAATTTAGCGACCACAGTAAGGATGCCGATCTTGAGGAATTTAGGAGATTAACTTTAGAATTGGCAATGTTAATGTCCAATGTTACTAGATCACTGGATTATGCTTATTTTGATTAGTCAAAATAAGGGTTAATATGGTTTGCTTTGAAATTTTATGTCTAAAACTGTGATTCTGGAAATGGAAGAACAGAACAGTCCTGAGAGGCTGCTCTCACCCGCCTCTGACAAAT